GACGAAAGCCGTCTTCCATGATTTTGGGACTACGCCTAGGGAATAGGAGTACCGGAAATGACGCGTTTAAACCGGTGCCAACTCGAGCACACGTCCTCAGCACAATTGGGGGGGATTCCGTCAGGCCCACTCGACCTGTGGATGTCCAGGGAGAGGAGTGCTTTGCGAACCGAGCGCTGTGTGAACTGCACTTTCGGCATGGAGCACTCACACCGCGGGATGGTGAGTGGTTGCTGTAGCCTATAGACATATATGTCCTCAAAATGAAAATTCGTTACCATCCTTGAGCACTAAGATGGAAGGCCTCGTTTCCAGTTGAAAGGGTCTCCGGTTCTCTACATTCACCAGACAAACGCAGCAGCGTTAAGCTGCTATTTTACCCTGGAATTCTGTGAGAGCGTTCTTTAACCGGTTAAGTCAACCCATTCGCACTACTACTATAATATAGCTGCAGCCTGGCTCTACTAGATAAATCTGATCGTTAAGAAATTTAAAAATGGTTATATAGGTCTTAAAAGCATATAAATAATCACCTCAGCTCAATATAAGGCAATTATCTCGATATTCCACACAGACAAATCAATTTTATTTGTATGTGTATAGATTATACATTTGAAAAGAGGGTTCATTTGGGTCATGAGCTGACGAGTAAGTCATTTACTTGAGGTCACGTTATATGTCACTAAATGTACCTCATTAAAGGGCACCGAATGTACCTCATTACAATCCCATGAATACCGATTGGCGTGCCAGATTTGACAATTTTGATAGAATTACTTTCGGCGACTGTAATTTGCAGGACGAAGTCATTTTAACATTGCTTAATCGACTCGTTCTTACTTGAAACAAAACATGTTTCGGTTTATTGTTAGCTTGTTGGGAATCTTTCAGTTGTTTGAGTGTTAAAATTGGTATTACCTCCTATGGCTAAGGGCCTATACAAACGTCGTGTTTTTTTACGCGTCGACGACGCGTGATTTCAAAGCCTGCCAGTAATTAGAGTTGCGTACAAAAATGTTAGTTTTTAAAAATATTCGTGATTAGTATTCGCCGAATACTAACATTCGTTTTCGTATTTGTTGCTTCACTAGCTGGCAACGCATCTGCATTTTGATTCGTAATCGAGGGTAGATGTAGATGTCTATGGGCCACAGCTTCCACTTACCATCAGGTGGACTGTGTGCTCGTTTGTCACCCTTATTCTATAAAAAAATATTGTAGACCATAGCAATTTACATAAAAAAAATGTAATTAAATCAGTAGTACAATTCTCTTTCACACTTGTACAATCACTTGTAGCGTCAAAAACAATTGATAAAATAGCAATATAACTGCAATCCAACACATGAGTGACTTTTTTTGAATGTCTGTCTGTCTGTATCTCTAGGCTAATCTTTGGTATGATTGACCGATTGTGATAAAAAAACTTCACGAACAGATGGTGAGCACAGAGCAATACCAGGACTGATCTAGGTGGTATTTTATTCGATAATCTTGGATATTTTGAGAAATCGAAACATTAATTAAATAAAACATCGTTGCTGATTATCTAAAGTCTAAATGATAACATAACTAACATTTATAGTCAAATGCCGGGTGAAGTCGGGATGGTTATCGAGTAAAATAAATAAAAATAAACAAATACATACATTAAGGAATTAAAAGAAAAAATTAAAGAGCTGAGGTAGCTCAGATGGTTAACGCTTGCTGTAAATATAACAGAACGCGAGTAACCCGGGTTCGATCCCCGCTGGCAGCAATGAAATTAGTTAGTTACAATTTTAAGTGCTGATTTACCACGTGCTCGGCGGTGAATGAAAACATCGTGACCTGCATGTCTGAGGAATAAGAATAAAATATATTTCGAAGACATGTGAAGTTTGCCAACACGCATTGGGGCAGCGCGGTGGACACTTCCTAGCCCTAAAACCCTCTCAGAAATGAGAGGAGGCTTGTGCACAGCAGTGGGACGTATATAGGCTGTAACTTTACTTTACTTTTACAAAAATTAAAACACAGTGCCGCAATTCTGCATTATTTTGTAAGTTCTAAAACAATCAAGATCCTTTCTCCTGTTAATAAAAAGCATACATATATACACTAGCAGTATTTTAGTGTGAGAAACAACAAACAATTGAGTGCTATACCGAATGCTACACAATATGTGCTATTGTTCCAGCATCTTACATAACCTGCAATTTTCTCATGAACTATCAAGATTCTCACAATACGTCTTTATTTCAGTATTCTTATCACTCGTCCGTACGTCTGCAAAAATGTTCGATATGATTAGAGTTCTAGATATAAGGTATGCGAGAGTAATCTGGTCACCTTAAGCTTTGCCGCCCTATAAAACTAAAACTAGGAGGACGACAGAGCCAAATGCACAGTCTTATACTATAGGTAACTAATTTATTAAGAAAAAAAAACAAACAAGCTGCGGAAATAATCAGCTAAATCAGAATATTTAATAATAACTTCGAAAAAGAAAACTAACGACACTACACGACACTAAAAACGAATAAAATATTTACTATTATGTCAACTTCAAAATGGCGTCGACGAAGCAGCGCCCTTTTGACCCTTTAATATAGATTGAAGAAAGTAACAATATTATCCGGATAAGCATATTACCCTCACGTACTATATTTATTAGTATTAAAATGAATTAACTTTATTAGTTGCAGTACTTATGTACAACGCGTGAAGAAAAATTTGCAATACATGAGTATTGTATGCAAATTTTATTAAAAAAATTACCTCGTGTATTTCCATTTATGTAGGTATATAATTTATTGAAATATTTTAAATGGCAATAGGACAGCATAACAGTATATATTTGGTTACTCAACTATATACTAGGGATAGTATATATTAACTTCGGAACTTTAATGTAAGTTCAAAAAAAAGGGAATCACTGTTCCGTGGTAAATAGGCTTATGATATGATGATGCCTAAAGTTATGTGCTACATGTTTTACTTTTATTGCTGGGCACAGGCCTTAGTTTATTTATAGGAGGGTAACGAAGCAATTAGATCGTCGTGCTGACAGTGTGTAATAAAAAATGGACAGTTTTCTTTAAATAAAATTACGAGTGACAAACAAACTAATAGTTTGATGATGTAAAGTAATAAAGTCCTCATTGATTTCTTATATTTACACGAATAGTAGACGTGGAAAAATATTTTACCAATTTTGTCAATTTTAATTTAACTGTCTATGCTTATTTAATTATTTAGCAACATATAACTATAATACCGTACCGTGGCAACGTTTAATTAAGAATACACTTAGATATAAACTTTCCTGTTATTTCTAGTATTAACATTGTGTTTCTTTTTTTTTACATTGTATTTACATTATACACTTTTTACATAGTATTTACATTGTACATTGTATGTATTGAATTACAAAAATACAAAAGTGAAGTTGCATTATTTGTTTGTCGCGAAACTGGGCACAGGTCTCATCGCATTTCTGGGATGTAGGTGTAACGTAAGTTTAGAGCGCTGCTCTTATGCTTGTTGGATATGTGAAATGTTCCAAATATGATATTTTTTATAATGCACGTGGTTAATTAGCACTTAAAATTACAATTAATAATTTCATTAGTGCTAGTGAGGATCAAACCCGGGTTACTCACGTAGGTACTTTTACATCGAGCGTTTAGCCTCGGAGCAACCACAGCTTTCATCACAAAGATGTCTAGATGTTGATAATATTCAAAAATGCGATGGGAACTTTCATCAATAATTTATTTTCTTATAAGAAATAATTGAACCGACTGAAACTATAAAACATTAAATAACTTTCATATGAGAGCTTCTGAAGTTGGTGCTAAGGCGATCAAAGAATTTAAAAAATCTGTTAGTACTTTTTATTGAAAGTTTAATAAACACTAAATGTGTTTATTAAACTTTATAATTTAATTTAATTTTACTTCAATCCGTATAAAATGAAAATTTTTACTTTCCTTATGTTATAATAATTCAAATTAAAATAACGCGATATATCAAACTTTTGAATATAGAGATGGTTTTAGTTTATAATTTAATAATTGTAAATATTTTTGAGTAAATTGAGAAATATAACAAATTTAAGCTAACAGATAGAATGTTCTTGCTAGAATGTTGAACATACCCTTATTTGTACACCGTTAGAATTGGATGAAATTTTAATAAAAACATTTATGGGACTACCTTCACTTGTTTAATAAAGAATAAATATATTGAATCGGTTCAGCTGTTTCCGAGGAATCGGTGAACATGAACATTAAAAACAAGTGGTAAAATTAAAAATTTTAGACATTCCACTACAATATAAATAAACATCATCAATGTAGTCGAAGTCATCAATATGCATTTTTAAGGATAACTCCAAAAACTACTGGTAAAATTTTGGTCATTTTATATGGCAGGCCGACATGTAAAGCACTTTTGCCAAATCCCAAGAAGAGAGTAAAACTCATCAAGAAGATTTTTTTACTGTCTGCGCCTTGCCGACCCCAGATAATGGGAAATGGTTTTTCAGAGAATGATGAATGTAGTCGAAGTCGAAATCGGACAATATGCAACTTTTTATGGATAGGGTATAGGTATTTATGTACTACAAAGAATACTGTAGTAAAATTTTGGTCATTTTATATGGGACCACATGAAAAGCAATAACTTTCAAATAAAGAAGAGACTGCATAAATAAAACACATAAAAAAATACACTTGCATAATTGAGACAAAATGCTATGCAAAGCTTTACCGCGGCATCCCTCCACACGTCTTTTTTTTTGAAGTCAGTTGAAAGAAACATATATTAGTGAAATAAAACAAAAACCCTTCTCGTTTTTAAAACTCGGTTAAAATGATGAATTGGCCATACAGTACAGACTATAGACTAACAACCATTTTTCTTTGTTTCAGTTACAGCTACGTTGAACTTTGCTGTGAGAGGAGAGCAACAGACTGCTTCAAATATCACAATGAATAATTAAATTAAATCAAGTCATGGAATCTCCAGTGAGAATATGTCTAGGTATGTCATGTATCTATTTAAGCATTTACGCAAAAATAGTACATACGAAATAATTAGCTAACTATGTATTTCGTTGCTTATATGAATGTTATAGTCCGATCGTAGAATTAGGCAGATTGTGATCTGCCTGGGAATTTTATATTATGCCGCCATTTTAAGATTTTACCGGTAATTTCTCTGCAATAGAAGCCTACGTTCAGCAGTTCACGTTTTCCTGTAATGAATGGTTAGAAGACCGATAATATGTCCATCGTTGGATTTATTTTATTTAAGGAGTACCTTTAGTAAATTTCGATTGAATCGCCCCGTAAATTAAAAAATCATTTATATGACATTACACTAAAATTAATTTTTTTAAATTATTTTTTTTTAATTTTTCAACACCTTTTGTTAAGAGGATACATACGTTATAAAAGGCAGGCACTGTCCAAATTTATATAATATGCGTATATAGTCTGTGAATTTGGTAGTATCAAATGAAAAGGTTTACCGTGTGTGTAAGAATATGCACTATCAAATATCATTCCGCGCGTGTCGTAAGAGGGAAAAAAGGGAATAGTGAAACAAATCAGGAGATGGGCAGAAGCGTCTTTCTAATAACGAATGAAGATAAAATACTGCAGTTGCCAACCTGCTTGCCAAGCGTGGTGACTGTGGCAAATATCCCTCCAATGAGGCAATATATAGGGAAGTCCTATGTTCAGCAGTGGACTTTAATAGGCTGCAACGGTAAATGGAAAGGCATTTGAAGGAGTGATGAAATTATATAATTAAAACGTTATACTCTTTAATGATATAAGATTATGACACTTAATTTATTTTTCAATAAGTTATAAAGAGTGTAACGTGTAAAGGAGATAATAACAATATATTTCAATTATTTATTTAATAATCATACAAATATTGGTATTGTTGTATATTAACGCGCATTTAACAGTAACTTTATTTAAAGAAAATCACAAATATTCAATGATATGTAATAACGAAAGTTTAATCCTATTTCAGGTGCGGCAGTAGTAGTAAATATACTACTTTTGACAAGCACAACAGTTAATGGCAGCGCTTTGCCACACGAAACGAACCCAACGACGATAACAGACGAAAAAGACACTAAATACAACCGAATGAATAGTACATGGTCCGTTAATAGTAAGACACCAAATGTAGCTCTGAATGAGTTACACCCTAAAGAATCTGCATCCGAAGAACACACTGAAAAGAATGCTAAATATAAAGATAGAGGAAGGGTAAAATTCCATTATCAATTGAGATCTAGTACAGAAAGCACATTAAGGAGGATTAAATTATCCACCGAACCTGCTAGTTTAGTGATTGTAACACCTACACCTGATGTAAAGAAACCGTCACAAATAATAGACAGTATGCGAACTTACAAGACTAAAATACCAGATTTAGCTTTAAGTACCAGTACTTCTGCGACTATATTACTTAAAGCTGACAAAGAAAACCAGAGATCTAAAAGCAATGACAAAGAGGGCGAAGAGGAGAAAGAGGAGGGAGACGAGGAAAAGGACGAAAAGGAGGAAGAGGAGGAGGAAGACAAAGAAGAAAAGGAGGAAGAGGAGAAAGAAGAAGAAAGAGAAAACGATGATGATTTTAAGAAATACACCTCAAGCAAATTCTATGGGAGCAACTTATTCAACATGCATGATAATGATTATAAGAATAAAAAGTACAATCAAGTTAAGGAATATGTCAGTACCCCGTCTTTTGAAAAATATTCTAGTTACTTTTCTAAAGATACCTACAGCTCAAAAGAAAGTAAAAACGACGAGCCTTATAAGTCGCAAAGTTTCTTTGATTTTGATAGCGATCTTACAACTCCAAAGAATAATTTGTTTGATAAAAAATATCATGACATATCCACCAGTATAATGAAAAATCTAGCCTCAGTGAAAGGCAGATCACCTATTTTAAATGCTACTAGTCCTCAAAACATTATTAAGGAAAATGTGGGCATTGAGAAATTTAGCAATGGGTCACCGAATAACAAATCAATGGTAATAATTAAAAATACCAAGGAAATTCACCTCCTTGATAATGAGCAGGCTGGTTCGGCCAACAGAGAATTATCTGATGTTCAGGGTACGAGTATTTACTATGAAATGTCAGTGCTATCAACAGAAACATACAATATGATTCACTCTAGCGACGATGATTGTGACAACGAAACATTGCCACTAGAAACCACGCCAAGAGTTACGTCTCAACAGGAGGAAGATGCTGATGCTTTAAAAGCTACACCACCTACTATAGCGCAAGTTCCAACTAAACCAGTCTTTCCAGACTCTTTACCTGGTTCTTTTTCCACTTTACAACCGCTTTTAAGTATCATTCCAAACTCATATAATACGATAATACCAATGCTTGAATCAGACGTTCCAATTTCTACACAAAATTCAATAAAACTTCCCGATCGACCAATCAAAGTAGACTCAAGTAGCTATACGAGAAACCGAAGTTACTCGAAACGGCTAAATTTAACAGGTACCAAAGAATCTCCTAATAGCGTTACTCAGCAAACCGACCAAGCGCTTAATTCGAGGCAAAGACCTATAACAAGGAAGTTTTATTACACCACTCCAAAGGTTAAGCCTATATGGATATCTCCTAGAAGAAATATTACTAAAGCTCACAGGACAACTTATCCAACAACAATATATTCAGAACATTTCAATATCAAAGATAAGTTTTCGACCACAAGCCGTCCGTTGTTACATCAAAAAACAATTTTGACAACTGTATCATCGGATATTGACCCAGTGTTACAAAGCGATGTAAGCGGCGTTAAGAAAGTAGTCCATTCACAGAAAATATCTGACAATACAATACCTTCATTGTGGAAAAGGGGTTCAATGAAGATTACTACGACTGGTGCGCCGTCGACAGAGTTCGAAACAGCCGTAAGTGACTTGGAAATACCTCCTACAATGACAGCTTGGGCATTGGCTAGCTTAAGAAGTCCACCGCCGTTGTCTAGTTCAGTAGTGAATGTTAGCGAATCTGTCCAGAAAAGCATCGATGAAAATGAACTGCAGAAAGTCGGTGAAGTTTTAGGTAAGTATGTACGCATTACAAGCAATTTACTTAAATAAAAATGGTAGGTCAGTAATAAATTATTTCCTGAATTAATGATTTCTTATATTTACGCGATTATTACACATGGAATAAAACTAATTTTACGGATTTTAACGAGTTTAAACTGTGTAATTGCGTTTCGTGCACTTTCCGATTATTTCCGAAGAAGTTAAAATAAAACGCCATAAAATACGAAATTTTTTTGTTTCTTTCCTGAATTAATAGCCATAACATAACAGATTAAAATAAAATTGAAATGTGTTTATATCAATAATAATTACTAAAGACGACTTTAGATATTTTATGATTTACATAACAGTTTCTATTAAAAATATTTATGACTTTCAGATAAGAGGGAAACAACCACAGTCTCGACAAAAATAACAACTACAACGTCAACGGTCAGTACCCTAAGTAATGATATAATTTCAAAGAATATTACTGATATTGTTCAAAATAAATTACCTTGGAAGCCAGTTGCATCAAATGTTGATGTAAACGATGAAACAGTTACAAAATCTGAGCGACTACAAGCTGAAAGTAATATACTGTTACAAAGTAGTCTTAAACCTTCTGAAACTATACAACTTTCCCAAAATATAACAGAAGTTACTACGGAAATAGCTAAAGAAAACCAAACAACACCATCTTGGATTTTGGCAATGTACGATAAAGATATTACTACTACAGAAGAGACACAAAAAACTGAACATGAAACCATTCAACCAGTTGATGCAACAAAATCAACGGGTTTCGAATCGATAACGAAACTTCCATCGGGAGTTACGACGCCTACCGATGAAAACGACGAAATCGTCACTGAACAATCCACAGCTCTAACTACCACTGATTACGAAATCACAACTATTAGGTACTCCTACGTACCTACTGAAGATATAACAGAATCTCCAACACCAATATCAAATGAGGATTGGCATCCAGTGATACCCACCAGAACTATGGCGACTACGTTTGAAAACAATCCTATTACTACATATAGTTCAAAGTTTTTGACTACAACTGAAGTGATCGAAGAAACAACCAGTGTACCTGTAGATACTACCCCACAATTAGAAGTTTCCTCACACACTTTAGAGAATGCAACGCAACAACAATCACAAACTATCGAGCAAAGTATTACTACATATAGGCCAAAATTTTTGACTACAACTGAAGTGATCGAAGAAACAACCAGTTTACCTGTAGATACTACCCCACAATTAGAAGTATCCTCACAAACTTTAGAGAATGCAACGCAACAACAATCACAAACTACGGAGAAAAGTACTACTGAGGAAATTACTACGTCTCGACCGACTACTTTAATACCTACTACCGAATCGTTTACAGATTACGAAGAAACGACTTTGGTATACACAACATCTGCAACGTTAATCAAAACGGAAGCAACGACAGAAGAAATCCAAGAAAATACAGAATATCTGGAGACAGTGACACCTTTTGCAGAAAAACAAACCGACAGTAGTTCAGAAGAAAACAGTGACAGTAACGAAGTTATTTCGCAAGACACTATTTCTAAAACTTCTACATATGCTACTTCCACAACCACTACCACGACGACATTGGAAACTGAATCAGCAACTGTCCCAATAACAACTACTATAGAAACTACTTCACCTGAAATCAAAGAACATGCGGACATCGTTGTCACAACAGACCGTAAAGCGGAAACGACTGCTTACACAACGACTGAGATTACCACAAAATCTGTTAATGAGTTAGAAGATTTGACGAGCTACGCTGAAGATATGACCACGGAAACGTCTTCTAGAGTGCTGACAGAAGAAGCGGGATCCGGGGCAGCAATCGCCATTGCTGTTAGCACAATTGGTGTTATAGCTTTAGTTCTTCTCGTGGGATTACTGGTAAGTTGATTACTTCTAATATTAAAAACGAGCTAGATATTCATTAGGGGCTCCTTTTATGTTTAAGGTTCCAATATCAATAGCCTATTTCCTAGAAGCAGTGCATTATTATGGCCCGGTTTGAAAGGGTCCGGTTTGAAAGCCAAGGGAGTTTAATGATAGGCTATAAAGCATCCCATCATAACCCTAAAGGCTAACAACAATTATTTTGTAATCTAATTAAGATGTAAAAAAGATTCTGATATAATTACCAAAGTCATCGTAAGTAAACGCCAAACGTCGTAATGAAGCCAGTAACAATTGCCACTAGAGTAATACAATCGGAATATTGTGGTTATCGCCTTGTATGATGGGCAATGTATTTGTAATCTTATACCAAATAGTTGTGATTTTATCAAATGCATTCGATAAAAATAATAGATCTATATTATTATTGGTTCTGAGTGAAATTTGAACTAAGGGCAGACCGCAACTATGTGTAATTAATTTTACTGTCACAAGATTTAAAGAAAACTATTCTATTTTCTCAGTTGACTCAGTTATCAACAATATGTAATAATTCAATTTTCTTTGCTAATATTTAATTTTACAGAACGAATATTACTACACAAATATAAGGAACAACCAATTCGAAAACGTCTAACGGCTACTCTTCGATAACATTTCTAAAAAGGTAGTCGAACTAATCCCGCGTCTAAAGAACCATGTTTCTTACAAAGATCGAATTCTTTTCCAACAAATATTTAACCACAACTATAATAAAAAAACTTTTAAAAGTAAACAAACTTTAATCAATCGTTCCCTTTATAATTCTCTTAATTAAATTGTACATAATAAAATCCCAATTTTTCTTTATTGATCTAAATAAAACCTAGGTCTCCGAATCTACACTTAGCATACGAAACAGCAGTATTAAGCCGCTATTTTACACTGGTATTCTGTGAGAGCCTAGTCCTTCCCCGGTCGCGCCGAATTATTCGTGCTACAACCATAAGATACGTAACAGTAATATGGTCACCTCAAGCTTTGCCTCCCTATAAAGCCAAAACTAGAAGTAAGACAGAGACAAAAACACAAAGTCGTGTACCGTAACTAATAAATTAAGGAAAAAATAGCATACAAGCTTTGGCATTAATTAGAAACACTTAGAAAAATCTACTTGAAAAAACTAACTACAATACACCATACTAAATTCGACAAAAATATTTACTATAATGTCAACTGCTAAAATGGCGTCGATTAAGCAGTGTCTAATCGACCTTTCAATATTTAATTGACCAATGAAGAGCTATCATATCACAAAGCCATCTATGCTAACAAGGCTGTAGTTATAAAAAAGTGACCATATTAACCGGTTGACCATGACATGATGACATTATAGTAAATATTTTAGTTGATTTTAGTATGGTGTAGTGTAGTTAGTTTTTTACGAGATTAGATTTTTTGAAGTGTTTCTAATTATTGCCAAAGCTTGTTTTCTAGTTTTTTTTTTAAATATATTAGTTATAATAAGTTTTTGTCTCGGTAGTTTTGGTTTTATAGGGCGGCAAAGCTTAAGGTGACTTAATATTACCCTCACGTACCTTACTCTATAGCCGAATTAAATATAAAATTAGATATATCGGTTAAATCGAAAATATCGCGTTACTAAAGTAAACAAATGGAACATACATGATGTGAATTCCTCCTTTTTGAAGTTAGTGAGTCCTAAAGTTACAGTCTTTATAGTTCTTACTGTCGGTCACAAGCCCCCTTTCGTTTGTAAAAGGGATTAAGGGCAAGGAAATATCCGCCGCGCTACCTCAATGCATGTCTTGATTACATATGCCTTCGATTTTTTTTAAATCAACTTGTAGGTTCCCTCATGATGTTTTCCTTCACTAACAAGCACGTAAAACAGTGCTTAAAATTGCAATTAACAGTTTCATTGGTGCCGGCGGAGATTGTACGACCACTACACGAGTGACGGTGTATGAGTATCCACTACTCCATATCATCCCGTAGATGTGAAGAAGAGACAGAGGGATAAAAACCAGAAGATGAGCAGCAGCATCTTCTTAATAACAAATTTAAAAAACTGCGGTTGCCAACTTTTTTTTATTGTACAAGGGTGACAAACGAGCACATAGTCCACCTGATGGTAAGTGGTTCCTGTGGCCCATAGACATATACATCTTTCCTCGATTACGAATTAAAATGCAGATGCGTTGTGACCGTGAGGACTTTGGTGGAATGCTTCGTTTCCAGTAAAAAGCGTCTCCGGTTCTCTACACTCACCATTCGATACACAGCAGCATTAAGCTACTATTTCACGCTGGTATTCTGTGAGAGCGTGGTCCTTCCCCGGTCGAGCCGACTCATTCGTGCTACAATTATTCTACTAATACAACTACAACATGGCTCTACCATGTCAAAAAACTGTCTGCCTAGCGTGGTATTTATGGAAAATATTTCCCCTATGAGATCTGTGGGGGAGGCTACGGGAGATGTGCTGCAGTGGATTTTGATAGGCTGTAACTGTAACGGTAACCGTGGGATTCGAACCCGGGTATTTCGCGTTTTAAGCGGAATGCTTAGCCCTTAAATAACCATGAAACTAAGTATAAGGGTTAAAAAAATTGACATAATAAAAAGTTGTACCTGTTGTGACTGATCTTTGCACGGCTTAGACCATTCTAATTTACACGACGTTAAAAAACATCATAATTTTCTCAAGGATCACTTTTACCTAGATAATCTTAGAAAGTTAAACATTGTGATTGGTTAGTTAGTTACAAGAATTAGACACACACACAAGAAAAATCAATTAAAATATAGAATTCTTATGTCGCTCTTGAACACTTCCAGTATATGTATTGTGTTTGTTCTTTCTAACATCAGCTTTGGTCTTGTTCTTGTTGCCGAGTGTTCATACAACATATCCAAAGTAATGAGCATAATATCAGATCTGTCTCACGATAAATTACGTTCACTACTTTGGAGTACGTTGCTGATTCATCTTCAAAAATGCGGTGACCTGGAATGATAATTGGTTTTGTTAGTCATCACCCTCATGGTGCTTGTTACAATCACATCTAGACTTACACAGGCGGTGCCCGGTTATACTAAGCTTAATTTATGTGTTGTTTCAAATACAACTCAATTCATTTGACTACGATTGTTTTAAATAAAATAAGGGTGACAAACGAGCACACAGTCCACCTGATGGTCCGTGGATGCTGTGGCCCATAGACACCTACATTTATACTCAATTAAAAATCAAAATGCAGATGCGTTGTCACCCGTGAGGACTGAGATGGAATGCCTCGTTTCCATTAAAAAGGGTCTCCGTTTCTCTACCCTCACCATACGAAACAATTATTAAGCATTACGCTGCTATTTTACGCTGGTATTCTGTGAGAGCGTGCTCCTACCCCAGTCGAGCCGACCCATTCGTGCTGCAACCATAATATAGCTGCAGCGTGGCTCTACCACGTAAAAAAATTTAAAAGATTTCCTTTTTGGCGCCGTTTTTATAAACTGTATTTAATTTTTATTGTATTTGTTATATTTTTTCATTTCAAATTACACTTGACTACTTACAGGAACAAATATGATTACAATTAAATAAAGTAACAATAAGTCTAATAAAAATAACATGCTATAATAAAATTAAAACTATGAGTAGTTGAATATAGAATCTACAAAAGAAAAATTAAACATTCACTAACATTAAGTACCTATTCTATAATCGTCCCATGGGCGACGTAAGAAGCGATAAAGGGAAACTAAAAAAGAAATTAAGGAATAGCATCTTTCTGATAATAACTTAGAATAATAAAACACACACAAACAAACAGTTGCCAACCTGCCAGCCAAGCGTGGTAATTATCGCAAATCTTCTCTATGAGACAATGTTTATACTAAAATTAATTAAAGTACTGTATAATTTTATATTCTTACCGAATATAGACTTTGAAAAAAACTTAGAGAAGACACTGTTTCCTGAAATACAGGTGACGACCAGGGGATGACGTAGTATGGGAGGCAGAGCTCCTTAGTATTTAGACATATTTGCTTGCTAATAATGTTTTATTTTTTTATTGTATGTTGGTACAAAGAAAGACATTTTGAAGTTAAAAACATTAACACAAAAGTTTTTAATTCCTTCCATCAAAATAAAAGAGTTCTTATTTCTAAGGCTTCTCCTACGAAGAGCCGTGTGTATCATTCGTCTATAGTCTCTCGTAACCGAGTTTTTATTAGTGTTTTTTTAAAGATATGTACTTCATTTGCATTGTGATGATGGCACGGGAGAATTAATTGCACCATTTTTTTTTCGTAAAGTTATTGGCGACTATAACTATACTATACTGTATAGATTCGTGAAGAAAAAACATCGTAACCAAATTTGAATGCCTAAGAAATTAAAGTAATAAAATATAATAAGAGTAATGTCTGTCAATAAGCAATGAGGAAGCGAACTCCCTACAACCCTCATAGGAAAGAGAGGAGACCTGGTTAACCTAGAAGAGGGACGTATATAGGATAATGCTTCACTTTTTACAATGATCATGGTAGTTCAAAGCGGAGCGTGGGCCTAAAATTGCAAAATACGCTCGTAATCTGGCTTTGATACTTAACAGCACTATCATAATTGCTATATGATATTTTATCGTAGTTACATATTTAGACATAAATTACAAAATACACGGACAAACATTGAGACCCAAAACGAGTACTTGTAGACCGTACAAACACTTGTGCAGGATTCGAACCTGCGGGTCCGCAACGTTGCACCTATATGCTTAGCCAGGTAGGCTAAGCATATAGGCGCTACTACGCTACTAATCCGTAATAAACACAATTTGTAAAAAAATAATTAACACTTACTTCAGACCATCCGTTAGTCGTAGCCAGTTCAAACACGTTAGTCTGTAATCATCAATGGTATTCATTTAAATTTTTGTTTTGTAGAATGGTGTGACAAACGAGCACACAGTTGACCTGATGGTACGTGG